CCTCCAATATCTGGACCGTCTAGGAGAGGGCTGGATTTGTAAAGCACATGTTTTGGGGGGAAATCTGGGGCTGGAAGTGTATTGGAATCACTCTGCAAGTGATAACCACGGCTGGTGGAAGCCGAAGTGTGACGGGAGTGTGCTAGCAGGCTGCAGCTATGCACAGACATTCAGGATGTGACCTGCATGCTCTTTGTGAGGGACCTAAGTTGGGAGTTAGAGCAGCAAAGCATTGTGAGGCACCCAAAGTTCCAGGGTAGCATTGTGAGGCACCCAAAGTTCCTGTCCTCAATGGTCTGGATTGCACCCCAGAATGTGATACTAATTACATGACGAGAAAAGAGGTGGATACAACAAATGTATGATGAGCAGCGCAAGGTAGAAACATGATGATTAAGGTTAGTATAACAAGCAGCAGTTCTGTTTACAAAGATAATACTGTGGGGTTTTCTGTTGTACTGTGGTTTCTTATGTTTTATAGGAGTAAGAAAAGAGCATGCTTGTCAAATTGCTTTTTAATTTGAGTTCATGTCACAGATATTGGAGTCAATCAACCTATTCAAATATTTCAGGAAGGTACAGAACATAACTACTCACTGCACTTTGCTTAAGCTCTGATAATGTGCACTGTGCTGTATAAGACACAAAGGAAGGCACGTTCCCTGTCCCAGAAAGCTCAAAATGTGAATAGACAGAAAAAGAAACACACACTCACTGGGGAGTCCCAGAGGATGTTGCTAATTGTATATACCGGTAGTTAACTATCTGAGTAACATGCACTTGCATTTCCTGTGTTTTGAAGTTAGTAGTCTTATGAGCATATCGTTACTAAGCAGGACTCAGGTGGTTTTAACATTTTCATAGAGTTCAATCTTTCCTTCTTGCTCATAAAATAGTGTGCATTATTTGAGTTAAAATAGTTTATATATGTAACATACAAGCTGCTGATGCCTTATACCAAGCGGTAAAACATGGGGAATAGTAAGTGACCTTTTCCTTTTATATATGATAACTTCAATCTCAAAGTTAGGAAGCAGAGGGCTGGATATGTTAGACCAGGCAACTATCCTAAATAGTGTTTTTAATATGGTTAATCTCATGATGAGAGCATACCACTACTAGGAGAGGAATGGTCTAGAACTGAATATTAATCAGATTTTCTGTGCATAGTTTGCATAGGAAATTATTGTACAATTTGCTGTGTATGCCTTTTTCTGGATGTAAGGATTAATCTTTTGAGATTTCAGTAACATCTCCATAGTATGCCTTTGCTACAACTATACTCCATATGGCACCTAATAGGAAATTCACTGTTGCCCCAAGGGTATGTTTTCACTGCAGAATTAACTTGGGCTCTTGCTTGAGTGTTGCCCCTAACCTAGCTCCCGTCCCAACACACAAACTGCTGACCTGAGTTTTTGTTGCTTTAACCCCTGGCCTACCTGGCTCATCTGGGGCTATAGGCTAAAGCTGCTTTTACTCATGCTGGTAATCGGGCCACTTCGCAGTGAGGATGCAGGCAAAACCACTTAACTGTTGATAGTCCTCTGGTGCCGCCACAATTCCCCATGTCTCCAGAAGGACAAGTTCTCCCACAGTTCACTGGGAAAGAATCATAGCGTGGCTCAGCTTAGTGCAATGCTAAGAACCATGAGATATGATCCCAGAAGTCCTAGTGCCACTCATGGGTGAGTGCAATGCCAGCGTAGACCCTGTAACTTGAATGTGGCTTTGGGGTGTGGCCACTCCCACCTGAACTAGGCTAAATTGTATGCTCATATCTGGCAGCTGATCACCTGGGTTAACTCTGCAATGAAGACGTACCTAAATGAATTGCTGTCTAAATACAAGTGAGAGAATGCATGCCAGTCATATTCCACAGTCCCCAAGAAATGAACAATGCCTCTTTCCTAATTCAGATTAGAATGCAGGGGGCCAGGGATATTTGAAGAGGTTTAGTCGTTGAGCACTGGGTTAAGCTTGTCTACTTCACCAGAAGGACTCTTTCTGAAGATTATTCAGTTGGGAAAACTGAGAAAATCATGGTTTTGGGTGAGGTCTAGAGACTTTATCCTGGACTTTGAGGGTTTTGAGCAAGTGCAGTGATTAATTAGCATTTTGTATTACCAATTAGGAGATTCCTACCCAAGTGAGAGATGAGAAAACCATGCCAGCAACACTCGTTTTCTCCTACGGGTGGGAGAAGACTGGGGTTAAGGTGCTTGCCACATCACACACAAAGCATCTTCTGGATGAATGGCAATCATTGTTTGAATAAAACCCAACATTATATCCGCTTAAAAGCTAAAATACTTTCTGACTGAAAAATAATTACCAGATTAAAATGATTCATTCTTGTACAAAGCAGTATTGTGAGTCTTGCACTTAAAAATAGTTAACTTTTCTTGAGTCCTGAAATTTTACTAAACCACCCATTTGTTGTAGCTGAAGGTGGTGGGTGGGAGGGAGGGAAAATTGTCTTGTGATTCTAAACGTGCTTTAAAAAAATACTTCATTTTGTAGTGAGATGCAATAATGTGGTAGTCTCCTACTATTAAGCAACATTAGCTTTAAGTTTAACTTCTAGAACTCTGCGTGTTCCTGGTGATATCAGTGATGCTGGTTCATAGACAAGTAAGCTTACCAAACACAGCCATTTAAGAGAGTTTTTCCCAACAAATCATTCTAGCCATGAGTTTGTCCTGCTTTGCATTTGTGTAAGTGCATTAGAAACAACAAAAGTATGTGTGCGCACATGCATGTGAAGGGATGGTTGGATTGACATTTTACAGCTGGAAAAGGACATTTTGATACAGAAACACTTTCTACATTATACATTCAGTAAATAAAGGACTGAGGTCTTCTACTTTTTGCTGTGTTGAGACTCTAACAGGAACTCGACAGTCCAATCAACCTCTTCCATGCATGCTTTACAACAAATAGTAATTTTTTTAGGAAAAGGGGTCACATAGTAAAGTAGAGGAACAAAATAAGAGATTAAAAATACTTTTTTCCTCTGGAATTTGCTTGTTTTAAAAAATTCAGTAAACAAATCAGAGCATGCTGCTGTTATAAATGAAATTATTCTTAAGTTGGTCAGGTTTGGGTTTTTAGCTTGACAGTATTCCTTGATCTGGACAGCATTGAGCATGCTTGCACACCAAACTATTAAATTTAAAAATTACTCTTCCCCTCCCCCCCTTATCTTTCCTGGTTCCTAGCATTGTTCCTAGCATTGTAATGTTTGCGGGTTTTCCCTTTGATAACATAGCTAATATATCCAGTTTATTATTATTATGACAGCAAGGTGCAGTACTTATGTTTCACTTGTTACTCAGTCCCTGAGCAGAACAGATAATCAAGCTACATGAAGCAGCAGCATTTCTGGCTCTCTTTAATGGTACATTCATAATTGTTGCTTCTTGATTTAATAAGTACAGTAACTGCATTCACAGCTAACAAGCTGCTGCTCGTTACACAGCAGTAGGCTCTAAACTGTCCTATTCTTTTCTAATTATGATCTGATTCATAATTATAATGCTTCCATGTCTGAGTACAACATTGTGGTATCATTGGAGAGATAAGCTGTTCTGTTGGTTTGCATGTGTAGATATAATTGCCAGAGTATAAATAACGCATTTTAACTTGTCTCATTGATTATAGGGCTAGTTTCTTTGGGTGCTAGCATGTTATGCTGCTACAAATTCAGGGCAAGCAAAAGATTTAGATTTGTAATTTATAAAAATCTGTGTGTACCTACATGATACATGGTTAAATGTTCTACTGGTCTTTATCTATAGAAAATTCAATATGTATTTGGCACCAAATTCTACTTCATTACTCTTATGTAAATCTGGAGTAACTCCACTAATTTAAGTGGAGTTACTCCAGATTTGCAGTGGTGTAATTGAGAACAGAATCTGGCCCCTCAGTCAACTTGCTAAACTGTTTGATAAACTCAGTGTTATGACTTGTGAATGAAAAATGAAGCAATTCACATAATGGGCCAGGTTGGTAGAGATGGGCTGAACTAAGGGTACATCTACACTACAGGGGGGAGTCGATTTAAGATACGCAAATTCAGCTACGTGAATAGTGTAGCTGAATTCGACGTATCGCAGCCGACTTACCCCGCTGTGAGGACAGCGGCAAAATCGACTTCTGCGGCTTTCTGTCGGCGGCGCTTACTCCCACCTCCGCTGGTGGAGTAAGAGCGCCGATTCGGGGATCGATTGTTGCGTCCCAACGGGATGCGATAAATCGATCCCCGAGAGGTCGATTTCTACCCGCCGATTCAGGCGGGTAGTGTAGACCTAGCCTTAGTGGCATACACCCAAAATGAATATAGGAGCATGTTGAAACTGCATCTTCAATTATGCTAAAAACATTTCAGCATGTTAAAATCAATGTGTCTGTCCAGTTAAGTGTTCACTTAAGTACCGTACCCAAAAGCTTATGTACCTCAACATTGATATGATCTTTTATGGGAACTTCTTACCAGTGCTAAATATCTATTTTTGCTTTTAATCTTGACTCCATTACTGAAGGTTTTTAAATATATATTCACTGTCCAAAGGCACTATCTATGTGAACCAATTTTTAAAAAATAAATAGTGTGTGTGCGTGCGTGCACGTACTCTGGGTAGGTCTGCAAAGCAGCATTCTGACACTGTTCTTGGGGCTCTAAGTGCATCAGTGATGACACTGTCTTTAATGTTGGTTCAGTTAGCAGCCTGGTTTCAATCTGACTCCAGAAAAGCTTTTCAGATACTTCCCCTGGTTGCCATATGGAGCAGCAGGGCTGTATGTGGATGTAGACTGGTGCACTGAATGCCTAATGTTACCTTCTGCAGCTGCTGCTACTACAGGCTGTCTCTGTCTGAATCTGTCATTAATTCCCCAGCTGAGTTGTCTCTGTAGGCCTCTAGCTGTGGAGCATATTAGGTATCACACAAAGCCTCTGTTTTGTAACAAATACTTCTTTAAATCCCTCTCCCTAGGAACAATTTCCACTCAAGGATATTGTGTAGGAATTATTGACAAGTCTTCCAAACCATTTCCTATTATTGTTGAACTGTAAGTTGTTACCATAAAATTATCTTCTGTAAATTTAAGATGCCTGCTTCATGCATACTAATAGTGGGTGTGATAGTGTGCATGATTGTTGGTCTAAGAGTGTTAACATCTCAGGTAGCTAGATGTTTGGGATGTTCTTCAGGGCTTTGGAGAAGGGAAGGACACCCTACTTCCCTCCTCAAAATGTAGAGAATTAGCAGACTTATTCAAAGGCAACTATTGAAGACTTAGCTAGGCCTTATGTGTTCCCATGGCCTATGTAAGTTCTCTCCATGAACGGCTAGTGGATACATGTCAGTATGGATTCACCTGGCTTGTTCCATCCTTCATGTTGCTAACCCACCCCTTCCCTGTGCTGTGGCATAGGGAGCCCCCACAGGCCATGCTCGCTGGCATGCAGGTGGCATGACTTGTTTTTTCCTTTTGACGCCATGGACTCCTTCCCTAAATTATGCAGATGGGGAAGTGCTTTTTCTTTTCTGGCTGGAACCATATGTGACCGTATAAGAGGGAGCAAGATGTTCCTGATCTGACTGTGGAAAATATATATTTTTTAACAGTTTAACTGTTAAAAAAGGTTGTTGGAAAATGTTTCAATAACATTTTTATAGGGCATTGCCCTGTTTTTCAAACATCTGATCCTGATATGTTTGTTTTTGAAGTTCTCAGAAGATTGTTTTTATATGTAGAAATAAATAAATATATATATTTAATAGCCACAGAATGTATTTACTCTCTGTGCAAATTAACAGTGTATTTTAACGTTATAAATACAGACTATCTGTTGTATATTTGACTGTGTGTGGGTATATATTCTTACTTTGTGTGCACTTTATTTTTCAGGTCTCTCAAATTATAGTTTGTCTTGCCTACATAACGTGTTTTCAGAGAAAGTGGGAAGGATATGTAGAACACATTTGTGTGGGTGTGAAATAGCTGTGTAGGGGATGCTCTTTATTAGAAGAGAATTCTTGCAGTTTTCTTTGTAAAACTTCTGGACACATCACTAAATACATTTTTCCAGCGTGGAGCCTTAAAAACTATCCAACTTAATGACAGTTGCTATAAAGGGCAAGCTTTTGTTACCCTGCATTAGAGCCACAATATCAGGCATTAAGCAGTGACATTCTGATTCCTCTTCCCCCAGGTTCCCCTTTGGATTATTAATGAAGACTATGATTTATCTTAACCTTCACTATTGCCTAGAGTTATCTTTAGACATTTGAATGAAGGTGAAAATGTAGTTTAAAAGGGCTGGGTAAATGCAGCTAAAAGGAAATTGAGAAGCCCCATGTGGTGTATGTTTGTTTTATTAAAAATGTTGCTCATAGCCTCACTTGTTATGAAGTAAAATATCTGATCCTGAAACCAGTATTTCTTTTATTTAAGTGCTTCGGATGTTCTTGCCATCTTACAAAACCGAGAAAGACATGATCCCTGCCTTGAGCATATAGTCTAAATAGATGGATGATACAAATTAAGATTCTGTTTAAAGCATTTGTTTAATATTAAAATTAACAGCAGTTTCATTGACGTCAGTGTTTATGGACATGCTGAGGAAGTAGTAAGCAACCAAAGCCCATAAGGGTTGAATTAGTGGTCTAAGTATTAGGTTTGGAATATCCAGACTCCCTAAAACGGTAAGGCTAAATACCAGGGTTGAATCCTCCTTGCAAAGTGTATAAATTGATTTCCATGCAGTTGCATGTGTGGCTCTCTGAGATCAGACCTGTTTGCTCTGTGTATATTGTAAAGATCCAGTGGCATGTTTTGCAAAACGTGGGGATACCCTAGATATTCTTGTCTATAATTTCCCATTCTCCTCTTCATCTAGTTATCACTTGACTGTCATCCATGACTGGAGCTGCTTGCATTTCAGTGAGGAAGTAATCCCTGCATGTACTGCACGTAGGTTGTGTGAAATGCATTTTGGGATTTATAAGGATGAAAGGCACTCTGTGTGAATGTAAAATATACCACTGTTAGCATATTTCCCAATGGCAGGATATTGATCAAATAATCTTATTAAGAACTGCTGTGGTATCTGAGTGCCTTTACTAAACTAATTTTATTTTTTCTCAGAACATGAGGGAAATAGCTGATAACACATTTCTGGAACTTCTTTAAATAACTGCAACTTTATTTAGCTAGGAAGAGAATAAAATGGCAATGGAAAAAGCTGTGAGGATCAGAAGTGGGCTGTTCTAATGATATTGCCTCATTACTGCGTAAAACACGTGTGTGTGTGTGTGTGTGTGTGTGTGTGTGTGAGAGAGAGAGTGCGCGCGCGAGTCACTGCAAATTAACTATAAGCTGCTGCTTACAGTATATGGTAAATTTATCAAATAGTGTGTGCACTTTAGTGACTAATCACTTGTAGTACTAAATCCTTATGCATCATGCAGTGTCATGTAGAGCAGTCTTGACTGTAATTAGCAAGATTTTTGAGACTGACTTGTTTGTGCCTGATCAAGACAGGCAGTTTTTCCTTGCACATGCTGATTTAAAAATTAAAAAAATCCACACCAGTTTAAAGTGCCTCAACTATCAGGAAAATTGACTTAAGTAACTCTACAGTGGAGTGATGAAAAGCACAATTCCCAGAATATGCAAGATCCTGCAGAGAATTTAGGCATATAGCCGTTATAATAAGAACCCACAAACAAAGGGATATTCAGGTATTCTTTGTGCTGTTCAGTTCTGCACAGAAACATTTGTTTTCCTCTTTGAAACTTCACTCTTTAAAAGGAAAATTTTGTTTCACACCCTGATTGTGTTAAGTGCTATTTTGCATATTGCTGTAAACACAAGTTCTGCTTCATTACTAATTGCTACATGCTGTATTCTGGAAGGTTTGTCTGTGTTTTCTTTTTAAGCTACCTATGCAAGTAAGTTCACATTTTTATATGCATTTACCAGTAATAATAATATCCCATTGAGTAAGAAAAAAATCAGTCTATATTACTTACTCAAATTCCACAGTTATCAGGGTGTATGGTTCCTTCAGACTGAGTTTTCACTTGAAATAAAAAACAAAACAACCCCTTCTCCCACCTTCTGCAAGTATTAGGGCCTATGAAGTAATCTGTTACCTCTTTGGAATACTTGTGTAATCATTGCTTTCTCTTTCTTTTGTTATTAGATATGGGATAGTTAGCAAAGCAAAGCAAAGCACTTTTATTCTGTTGCAAATACTTATTTTAAAACATACGTATAAAATTAAATGCACAAAACCCACATGAAGGTAGCATTAAATTTGCAAACTTAAATGAATATCAGACAACGAAAGTCACAGCAGTTTTTGCAGTGTTAACTTATGTACTTAGCATAATTATATGAGACTAAAATTCACCTTTGTGATACTGACAGCAGAGTTCTTCACACTATAATATAATAAAAAATTGTGTGGATCAGGGTTCTCATCAAGCCACAAACGATGGCTGGGAATGTCTGTTGGGACTATCTGCAGTCCTGTTAGTAATATAAACTCTATTTACTTGTCTCCAAGGCTGGCCAGTGACACACAAAGCTACAGGGCCATTGATCTGAGATGGTAGTACTCAGTCTAGCATTGAGGAATAATGGGTTGGTTGAACATGGGTCAATCTGGAGTCATGTATGAGTACCAGACAGTTTATAGGCCCCTCGGAACTTTCCCAAGGAGCAGTTATTTTTGGAGAGTTTTTTTTGTGAGGGAGTTTCATTCCTTATCTACTAGGGTTCCATAAACCCAGACAAACAGGGCCCATGGTAGGAGGAATAGGCATCTTCCATGGTGACTGATAAGAGCTGGCCCTTCTAGAGCTTAGACCAGAATTTTCAAGGAGACTCAGTGATGGCAGACGGAAAGAAGATTCCCCCAAATATTAGCTCACATTTGGTGTGGAAAAGGAGACAGCTGGAGAACAGCAGTTGTGGTCCAACCTGTAAGGGGAGTCAAAGCAAAACAGCCTCTCACCCCCAGTAGTTCAGTAGCTCAGAGGAGAAATCCATTGTTCAGGATGTCAAAACCACTTTTTGTTGGGCAGTGTAAAGCATGCTGGTTTTGATCCAGGGTGGTGGACCTACAGCTCTTTCCCTCCAAGGACCAAAACAGCATCCCAGAACTTAGTGGTGTAGATGCATTTGGTGTTTTGAGAGAGCTGTTCTTCTAGAGTCTTGAAGTGTTGATGTGTAAGGGCCAAGAGGTTTAGTGATCTAGTATATATAGCTTTAAAATATTGTTTTATTTCATTCTGTACGTAAATCTTTTCATTTAAATAAGTCAGTAGTCCTGTTGTGGTTCTACCTTCTTGAATTCTTGATTTGGAAAGGCTCACACCTAACTTTAGTGGGCACTGGATTCAACCGGTAGGTGTTTAAAAAAAAAACACACCCACCTCTTTCTGCATATTCTACAATTGCTGTTTTACAACCTGTTGTCTTGCTTTATAACTGCCAACTTCTTTGTTTTCTTTGTCATTCAGAGGCTAACTGTGCAGGAAGACTTTAAATCGTGATGTCTCTGCTGCCAGGTGACCAAGCTAAAGCTTTGTATATGTCAATCAAAAGTTACTTGAGAATTTGGATCTTGTTTTTTCCATCATGAAACGGAAAAGGGAGCAAAGGATGTAATGCTTCAGAGTACTAATAATGTAAAAGAAAAAGCTCTTTGACAAAGTTTAGTGGCCTGTATATAAATACTCTGCCAGAAGATAAACATTGAGGGATAGGGTTAGGAGACTTGCACCTGAGCCAAAGTTACAAATACAGTCAAGTGACCTTACAGCAAGAAAAACTGTGAGGAAGAAAGGGTGGGAGGAAGCACAAATAGAAGCAGCATTTACTAAAAAGAGGCTGTGAGCTAAATGAGCTTTCAGTGAAGTGCTGGCTGAGGACAGAAGATTCAAGAACAGCCCACAAATGAAATATTTTGCTGTTGATCAACAACAAAGGGATTGGAAACAAGGCCCAAAAAGGGTTGATACAGACTATAATGTTGTGACGCTATTTACTGTCTTTCTTGGTAGGGTTTTGTTGGAATGTAATAAGTGTGTTATGTTTATGCAGTGGCATTGCCATCCACATTTTAAGTTGAATAAAACAAGGAGTGGAATATGACATGTATCACTTTGTTATTATTCAGCATCCCTTACTCTGCAAACTAGTTGAACATTGTTTTCCAACCGTTGCATTGAATAATAAGCTTCCTGGCCTTTTCCTCAAACAAAGCTGCTCTGAACTGCTGTTGTTGTCTATAATATTCTTCTTGTTTTGTTATGGGTTTGTTTGTTTTAGAAAAAGTTAAGAGCACTGGCAGATAAATAAGATACTGGTAATATACAGTGCTTGAACAGTTCAAGAATTAGATGGTCTGATTATGTGAAATCAGTGTTTGCAATGCCCATTGTTTTTGAGCTAGATATTAGCTTAGAGTTATAGATCAGTACCTTTTGACTGTTTTTAGTAAACTGTAGTATTAATAAAATTAACTAGTTATAACTAAACAATAACTATAGGGATCTGGCTTGTATCTACAGCAGTCAGGATCTTAAGTTTCAAGGAAACTCCATTGTGCGTCAAGTGTCTCAAATCATTACATGTTATTAATCAGGTACGGCGATATTATGGCACTAACGAATTGAGGAGAAAGCAAAATGCCAGTTGTATTGCCTCTTGAAGTTAGATTCACACCCTCATCACTAATAAATACATTGATATCTGTATCCAATATGGATATCAAATATGTGTAAGATATAGTCTGTATGCAGTGATTTCTTATGTTTTGAAAGGTTATATTTTGAGAGAGTTCCATTAGAGAACTACCAATAGAACATGTAATTCTGATCTCTTTTGATCACTCATATAAAATATTTTATATGTATATAATTTTGATATATTATAATTTGCTAGTTTACTTATTAAACTTGGTTTGGGTTAAGAAATTGCTTAGCAGGTTAACATTGGTGTGAAGGGCCTCATGTTTCCAGGGGGGAATGCAAATTACATATATAATTTGATTTCTAACCAAGTGTAACATAATTTAAAAATGGGAATATTATCTGCCCTCCTAAGGTTTCAGTTTGCAAAGATGTTACATTTAAAGAAAATACCTTTTTGAAACCCATAAGCCTGTTTAGTTAACTACCAACCCTCTTGCCCCAACCAGTGTCCCTGTGTGACATTATGGACATATCATAAAAACATGAAGTTTGTGAACATACAGATAAAGATGAATAACTATTTTAGTAATTTAATTTTTTTACTTAGAAGAATCAGTGATGCCTTATCTAATCAGCCGCCTAATTTCTTGTTGACAGAGAAGTTATTTTAGCTTTTTATGCTCAACTCAAACGAGACCAGTTCCATTTTAAAACATGACTTGCACTGAGGGTTTCATCATTCTATTGCACTTGTGTTGTGGACTTGATGTGTGTTTTGTTATTTTTTTTTTTTTTTTTTAACTATAGCGATTTAAGTCTGAAAGTCACTAATTCAGTTTTATAAGTAATAATGGTATAGTGTTTTTATATTGTAGTTATTTTCAAAATAACATTCAGAATACAGCAGTCATTTTTCTGAAAGCTATTTTACGGGGTTTATAAAACTATAAAGATTGAATGTTGGAGGATTTGTAGTATGCTGTGTTGTAGCCAGGTCAGTACTAAGATATTAGAGAGACAAGGTGCGTGAGGTAAAAGAAAATATTCAACTGCAGGTTCTTGCAGCTAGTGAACTCAAATGGGCTCTTCCTTTTCATCTACCAAGAAAATACTATGTTAGCATGCATTTATTTTTTATTTACAACACCAACATATGAAAGTAAGGACCAACCCATGCAATTTGCTAATGCTGCCCTCAGTGCCACAAAGTTTTGCCACTTCTGAATTACTATGTGAATGTTTGAATTTGGTATGATCTTAAAAATT